ACAATGCACAGCTTGAACCACATGATCAAGTTCGCCGATGACACAACCGTGGTGGGTCTCATCAGCAAGAACGACGAGTCAGCATACATAGAGGAGCTGCAGCTTGGACTGGTACAGAGCCAACAACCTGTCTCTGAATATGGACAAAACTAAAGAGATGGTTGTTGCCTTCAGGAGAGCACGGAGTGACCACTCTCCACCTATGCATACTTCCAAAGTTGTAATAAAAAGGCTTAAAGACAACAAAGTGAAAGTATTGTAGTGGCCATCACAAACCCTGACCTGAATCACATGGAAAATTTGTGGACTGAACTGAAAAGGATATCTAAGCAACTTATACCAGTTCTGTCAGGAGGAATGGGCAAAAATTCCAGCAAAATCTTGTGAGAAGCTTGTGGAAGACTACCCAAAGAGTTGTGTTAAAGTTAAAGCAGTTGAAAAGCATTCTGAATTCTTGAAAAGCAAATTTCTGACCCACTGAAAATCTGGCATAGTAAATAAAAGCTGAAATAAATTTCTCTTAGCTACTGGTTTGAAATTAGTTGTTATGGAAATGAAGTGGATACACTAATTGACTTAACACAGGAAAAGTATGCTAACATGAAATGTGTGAATTTGTGAAAAATTGAGTTTGAATGTCTAGCCTAGGTCTATGTAAACTTCTAGCCTCAGTTGTATGCACTGGAAGTATATTAAATAACAAAAACAAAAGCACCTGAATGCCCATTTCCTCTCATTGTATTTGTCATCCTTCAGGTAGTTGAAATCACATTTAAAGTCAAAAAATACACATTTAATGTACAGACTTATGTCCCTTTTTTCGACTTTCTTGACATGTTTCAACTGAATTTGTTATTATTGTCTATTGTAAGTGTCTCTTACACACACACACACACACACACTTATTTCCCACACTAAGAACCATATTCAGAGTTGGGTTATGCATGCGTAATAGAGATTTAATACCTAAATTGCACACATAAGTATTCAGACCTCAAATATAAGACTTAAACACTATCCATGCGCATAAACGGTGGAGTTTGTGTAAAACAGAAGCATGTATCAGTTACACATGGTTCTGACGTGAACATTTTTCTTATGCAATATTGGCTGAGTGAGGAGCAGTTTTCCACACCTCAAATCTGACAGTTTGATGTAACCACAATATCTCACACTAAAATGTATGTTTTGGGATGTAAATACACTAAAAAACTATGAAAAGCCATTCAAGGCCAAATATTGAATGCATAAATATGGTACCATTAATTAATTGATAGTATTGTTCCTTTAATTTCACATGGAGGCCATCAAAGAGACATTGTCTTAAATCAGAGTCATTGCTTATCTTAAGGACCAAATTTTTTTACAGATAAAATTCTGAACAACATTTAACATGACCTGTAAACATAGCAGATGATTCTCTCTGCTCCAAACACAAAAGTGTGGCCTGCACTTAGAGAGAGAGGAGCAGTTGAACAGTCTTTGTTCTCTACCGTTTTTCCCCTATACTCCATCCGATGATGGGCCGCTACCTGTGCCCCTGAATTAGCATGCCCCATGCAGTTCTGCCACCCACTGAGGCCTCTAGGTCCCGTTACTGCATGCCACACACTACTTGCACCAAGAGCACCCTCACAACATGCACCAGCCTCACAAGCACAGCTGAACACTCCACCTTCTTCACTCCAGTTCCCCTCTCATGCCTTACAACATAAATAATCACCCCTACAGGTATTTTTGTTCACTGTACCCCTGTGTCAATGTGTCCTTATTTTGCCCTAGCTGTCTTGAGTCACTACACTGGTGGGGAATGCAAGCATGAGCACAGACACACGCAGGGAGATGGATCCTGTGTGGAAACACTTACTCCAGACCAGCCTATGCCAGCAGCAGGTAACTCAGGAGTTAGCCCAAGGCTTGAAGCTGTTAACTGAGAATCTGTTGGCCCACCACAATCTAAGAGCCACAACAGATACTTCCCTGCCTGAGACCTGCCAAGATGGTGGACCTTCCTCGGTCTGTGCCAACATATGGGAGCCTCTTGACCTCCTATGTACACAGAGGTGTACAGGAGGTCCCTGCCTGAGGATAAAGTGAGAAACCACAGAGGTGAGTGGCCCCTACTCATTTGGCTTGTGCCTGATCTGCCTGTCCCCCTGCCTGGAGGTCGAGACTGGCCTGGGTTTCCTGCCAGCCCCCTCGCCTCCTTGAAAGTTTGATGAAAGAATTGGCGATCCCAATAAAAACCCAACACCCAAACCCACCCAGCATGCTTGGCACAGGAGGAGGAAGACAGCGGTGATGCAAGTGTTGAGGGTGTGTCCAACAATACCACTAACCCTCTCATGTCTATCTATCATCAGGCCACCAAAGAAGGCAACTTTAGGTGATTGCAAAAAGAGGATGACCGCTTGAAACATTGCTGAAGTCAGGTAGCACAGATAGAAGGGGTAAACCAACAGGAAGCTTGAGCCTTAACCCCCTCATATTTCCTGATCAAGAACAGGCTATTAAATTACCACATGGAGCAACATGGGCAGCCATGAGACCTGTTGGTGGTACCTCAATCAATGATCGACTTACTGAGCCACCATAGTGTTTTAGTAGGGGGCCATTTGGGGCCCAGGAACACCCTGGAGAAACTCAGGACTGCTTTCATTGGCCCGGCAATGGATGCAGAGGTGAGAAACTTCTGTCAGTGATGTCCCCAATGCCAGCACACCTCCTCCAAAAAGCCTGTGCCAGTGCCTCTTATCCCCCTTCCCATTGGAGTCCCCTTTGAAAGAATGAGGATAGAGCTCGTTGAGCTGCTGCCAAAGTCTGCCTGGGGTCACGAATACATTCTGGTCATCGATGAATACACCACCCGCTACCCCAAGTTGCTCCCTCTCCAGTACTGAAGGACAGTTACACATCCACTCCTTCAGTGGAAAAAGGTTCCTCAAACCTATGTATGAGTCAGGAAGAATTCTTCCCATCTCACACGTAGTTTTGAGGATAAGCAAGGAAACCGAAACTTCTCAGAATCAGAAAGAAACTTTATTACAAAAGGTAAACCTAAGCAATAAATGAGGTTGGTCTTGAGAGTGAACACATATTTCTGACTGGAGGGTGTGACCCTGGTCAGGTTTGGGTATGTAGCAAAACAAGAAACCATTTTCCACAGTATTATGAATTCTTTACAGATTGGGATCTTGGGGTCTTTCTTTAATTAGTGCTTGAACCTCAGGATCACTCTCCTGTGCACTGGCTATGTCTGTCCAATGCACTGGGAGATCAGCATTCATGGATGTAATTTTACACACTGCAATCCTGCCTTGTGGTGACTGAGGTGCTTGGCTGCATGATTAAGAATCAGGAACGACGTTGCACTGTCCCTTCCTATATACCACCTTGAAATCATATCCTTGGAGCCTGATGATCCATCTAGAAGGTCTTGATGAGGGGTTTGGATGGTTGAAGACCCATGTGAGTGTGGCATGATTGGTCATCACTTCAAAGTGTGTTCCTTCTAAGTATGGCCTCCACTTTTTCACTACCCATACCACAGCTAGACACTCTATTTTGGACACTGAATATGATTCTTCTGTTCTATTGAATAACCTCACAGTATATGCTACAATGTGTTCTTTCCTGTCTTTCTCCTGTGTCAGTACTGCCCCAATGCCTGTATTTCTTACATCTGTCTGTATTCTGAATGGTTTCTGGAAATTGGGTGGTCTCAGATAAAATTGCTTTTTTGATGTCTTCAAACAACTTTTGACAGTCCTCTGTCCAACTCCATCTAACCTCTTTATGCTTCAGGGCATGCAAGGGTGCAACTTTCATAGAAAAATCTGAGATAAAAAATTATGTTACCATCTAGCTAGACCGAGGAATCTCTGAACCTCTTTGACATTTTTCGGGATCAGGAAGTCATAGACAGGTCTCACCTTCTCAGGATTGGTCTTGACACCCTCAACAGAGATAACATGTTCATGTTTAGTCCCTCTCTGCCCAGACATTGGAATATTTCTGAGAGGTCTTTTAGGTGTTGCACCACATCATCTATGTACACAAAACAGTTCCTTGATTTACAATCCATGAGCACACATTCCATTAGGTGTTGGAAAGTTGCTGCAGAGTTCTTGAGTCCAAATGGCAGCCACGCAAATTCCATTAACCTCCTGTGTGTGACAAATGCTGTTTTGTGGATACTCAGTGGATCCATGTTCACCTGTCAATAACCACTCCTCAGGTGAAGGATGCTGAATATGTCTACTCCATGCAGAGATTCCAGTATTTCTTGAATTTGTGGCATCAGGTACGAGTCCAAATGAGTTTACTGCTCAGTCCCTGGTAATCTACACAAAATCTTATGCCTCCATCTTTCTTTATGACAGGTGCTGCCCAAGGAGAGTTGGATGGTTGAATAATTCCCTTAGCCAGCAACTCACCAATGGCTTTGTCAATCACTTGTTTTCAGACTACTGGTACTCTATATTCTTTCTTGTGAATAGGTACTTCATCAGTGGTAACAATCTGAAGTTGTACCACCGCAATGCATCCTAGTGCATCAGTACATATGACTGGCCAGTCATAGGGGAAAATTCTAGTTGTTGTTGGACTTCTGCCCCTATATCTGCCAGACTCACCAGTCTCTTGATGTGTCTGACTCCCTCTTCTGATGTCAGAGGACTGTGTTGTGTTATACACAGTTGGAGCAGGGTATGGCCATTAGGGTCAGGGGCATACTCTGTAAATGGAAATTCCTGTCTCTTCCCCTGACAGTCTGGCGGACTGTAAGGTGACTTGCTAAAGTCAATAACCACCCCATTCACTACCAGGAAATCCAAACCAATAATCATTGGAAATGTAAGGTCAGAGTCAGACAAGACATACAGAAAAAGTTGGTATTTGCCAACAACTTTCTTTTACTGGGTTGTAACATTTCAGATGAGGGTTTTAAGCTTCACCACCAAGACTCTTTGATAAGTGAATGAGTGAACGCTCCTACAAAGTGGTGGTAGCTCAGTGGTTAAGACATTTGCCTACTGAGCAGGAGGCCATGAGTTCAAATCCTGGCATTGCCAACCTGCCACTGTTGGGCCCTTGAGCAAGGCCCTCAACTGCTTATTTGTATAAGTGAGATAAATGTAAGTTGATCTGGGTAAGGGTGTCTGTCAAATACAGTAAATGTACAGCTGCACACATCACTGGGACACCTCTGCCCCCTGTTTAGAATTTTTTCCAAACATGTTGTAGCTACAAGACCTCCAGCATTGTGGATGATCCCTCCCACAAATTATTTGCCCCTTTGCCTTCCAGCAAAAGGTATTGCAGCTTCACTCAAGGACTGCCAGTCTGAGTAACAGCTCCTATCTCCAGGCTGTCAGACTCTTGAATACCATGCTGCCCGTTCCACATGCATCACCCTGGACTCTACTCCCAACTAAGGGTTGATTTATACTTCTGCATGCACGTCTCTGCATGTACGTCAGGACATTGTGTGCAGATGCTTGCGCAAGGTGAAGTATTCATACTTGAATGTAATGTGAGTGTCTTCTAGGAGGCATTGTCACATGCACCACACCAGTGGTGAAGAAGGGCCAAAAACGTCCTGAGTTCCATGTTTCACTGTAAGAATAATAAGTAGCGTAGAAGATAACATGGGCATTATGTTGTTTTGAAAAGTGCTGAGGAAAAAAGGAACCTTGCGTGATTAATTACAAACCAAGTGAATACCTACTACAAGCATTTCTGATGTGTTAACTCGTCTGTATTCAGCAGTATGAGCAGCTTTTGTATTGCAGCACTTCAGTTTCACAGGTTAACACACACACACACACACACACACACACACACATAGAATGTGTGTTTTTGGGAGTATGTTAGAAGAAAGAGAAAGTAAAGTGTGTGATCCTGCAGGATTAAACTGGCCATTATAATGAGCTACAGCTGTTATAAAGTCTCACACTTTATATAATACATTTATATTAACACAGTATCATAATTGCAGTTTTCTGTAAATAAATCCATTATACATTAATGTGATCATTTCACTGTGTGTGAAGCAAACATAAAATATTGTGGGAAAAAATGTTTGAGAGTTTTATCATAGAGGAGAAATTTTTATTAAAGGCACCAGTCTGAGAAACTAACAAAGTAAATATGTTTAAACTGAGATTTTTACAGCACGTTTTTCAACTGTTTAGGTTGTGAGCTGTGTTAAGGTTTTTAATGGACTACACTTTCACAAAGCTGTTTTGGAGCCTGAGCTCCTCTATAGAAGACTGAAAGTACTGGATGAGGGAAAATGTTATTGTTTACACTTTATTGTTTAGCAATTTATTGTTTACACTTCAGATGTTCTTTGAACAGTATTACTCTAATTTGAAAAATATTAGTCTGAATTTGCCCACACAAGAAATCTCACAACATCTTATTAAACCATTTCCATTAGCATAAGCGACACACCTCTCCACCAACCAATCAGCGTTCACCTGATGCATAGCACAGCAGCTATTCATGACACATAGTTAGCTCATGGAACGACTTTGCATTAGCGCATCTCTGTATCTTCCTGTGCCACATTTACCCATGATCCCCCCCTCTCTGACGCAAAGGTGCAAATCTGCATTAACACAGAAGGCCTTAACACCCTACACAGTGGTTTGACTTACTGTTTACAACAAACCAACACTTTAATGGTACTGTATTCACAACCACAATACTGCACTGCAACTTTAAATTTCATTTCACGTTATAGCCTTGGACCTTGTTAGTGGTTAGAGTAATGTTTTGTGATTTGGGGTATTTATGCTCTTACTGGTCCCCTGTGTACTCACTCCTGTTTCGTATTACACTAACATTGTTTCGTATTACCCCCTCCCTACAGGCTTCCTTCTTCTTAGTGCACTTTGTTATGTCCTGTCAGCACTGCATATATGGGTCCAAAGAAACATTATTTCATCTCAGTGCGTATTGTACATTGTATATGGTTGATATGACAGTAAAGATCTGCTTGACTTGACTACTTGACTTATTCTCCAATCAACTATAAAGTGTGCCTCCTATTTGCCTGGAATGAAAGCCTGAAGCCACACTGGTGGATAAGATTGAAGACCCCTGTTCCAGTCCATTGCAGGGCACCATACATACATTCACACACATTGCCTACAGGAAAAGTTTGTGTATCCAATCCACCTACCAGCATGTTTTTTTGAGGTCGGAAGAAACCAGAGAACCTGGAGGAACTGGACAAAACAGTACAGGACATACAGGAGGACATGCAAAACAGTAACCTGAGTTCAGAGTTGATCCTAGTTGTTGTTAGGCAGCAACATCTCCTGCTGTGCCACCATGCTGCCCTTTGTTTAGCATATTATACAAAACTAATTTCCTGAGCTCACTCACCCATACATTCTAATTTGAAATGCTGTTCTTTGTTTATTTATTTATTTATTTATTTAAATGACTTAACAGAATTATTATTCAGTTATAATAAATAATATATAATCTGCTGTTTAACAGTGGTAGACACATACTTTGACATTTTGACCAATAAGGGGCATTTAGAAATTTATTTAGTCAAAGTATGTGTCTACCACTGTTAAACAGCAGATTATATATTATTTATTATAACTGAATAATAATCTATTATTCATGTATATAAATTAATTAAAGTGGAAAACCTACCCTATACTCTAGAATTTATTTCTGTAACATTGTCTAAACAAAATAGCAAAAGATCATATTATTTCTCGTTCTTTTTGCCAAATCATGTTCAATCATCGTGTTTAAATAAGCCGTGCGACATCAGACAGTTTGCTAGTTTTTATGTTTCGTGTTTGGATAAAATCCCTGAAAATGATAAATGTGTACTCCATGAAATGGATAATATGAACTCGACAGGTGCATGTACCTAAGTAAACTTAATGGACCTATAGAAACTTTTTTTTCTTACTTTATTAGATATACACAATAAATGGTGCTGCTATATATGTCTAATCATTTTTAAACTTTCAAATAAATAATCATTTCCTTTCTGTGTATTTTGGCATTCCTCTAAATTCTATTATTCATAACTTGTATCACGATATAAAGTTGTAGGGAGTTTTTATCTCAAGAGCATATTGTGAAGATTTATCAAGTTTTTGGATTATTTGCCCACTAGATAGCAGTCAAAGACCACAAATGAGTCTGTCAGCTAAACTAGCCTGCTCAAACCTGTTTAGCATCTAGGGACCACTTCTAGTGGAAAAAGACAAATCAACAGACCCCATTTTAATGACAGCACATTAATATGTTGAAATTAATGCAACTTTTTAAAAATATAACTCAATGTGTACTACTGAATTTATTTAGTAGCCACAAAAGTGTATTATTTCTTAACCAGTTACACTGAGTGAAAATGAATATTCATAATAACAGCATATTTCCTAGTTTTTTTTATTACTGCTCTTATTACTGACAGAATTAATGTATCTTTGGGCTTGTAGCAAAACATTTCTGATATTTACCTTTCTTTAACAGTATTAAGTATTCTGGCCTGATAAATGAAAGTCAAAACTTATGTTCCTAAGGCCTTGCAGTGGGAATGCCTGATAGAAATAACTTGACTTAATTCATGTGACATCATCATATAAGGCCGTGTGGTCAGCATCAAACAGAAAGCTGACCCCAAAAATCTTGGGGTAGGGAAAAAAAGACATGTTTTGACCTTTTTTTTCCACATAAAATTGTCAGGACTAATTTATTCTACATATTTGTGATGCAAATATACATAGATGTACTACTGTAAGAGAATAAGCTTTATGTTAGTTCAAATCATGTACAGATGTTTATATAATTTAACATGATGTCCCAAATTACCAAATATGGTTCAGGTTAATTGTGACAGTCTAAAAATACAGTTAGTAGAGAGAGGAGAATGGATATAATGGATGCATGAAACGATGCATGAAACATGCATAACTGTGGTTAAATAAGGCACTGATGGATTCTATGTGCATTAAATTGTGTTTTTATGAAGAATCTTAAGTAAACTGGGAAATATAGAACATTTCTTAAGCCTACTACTGAGTATGTAGCAACATTTACTTAGTGTAATATGTTCCTGTCATTTTGTTCCTGTCATCTTGTTTAAATCCTGTGTTTTGCTGCTCCTAATATCAGCAGCAAATATCATAATAATTGTTACTATTTTATTTAAAGATCTTATTTTTTCATTTATTACTGCCCTTCAGAAGCTACATAAGATATTTACATTTTTCCCAGAAGACAAATTAATAACAATTTTCACAGATCATCCTGTTCAAAATTTTACACCCCCTGGTTCTTAATGTATTGTGTTGCCTTCTTGAGCATCAGTGAATGTTTACACCTTTTGTAATAGTTGTGTTTGAGTCCCTCAATTGTCCTCAGTGTGAAAAGATGGAGCTTAACATCATATAGCCACTGGTGGAAAGGGGTCAAATATGCAGAAGATGCTGGAAAACCAAAGAATGTGCAGGATCTGGAGGATTTTTCTTAATAAGAGTGGGCGGTTTAACTGCTCAGGACAAACAGGGGACTCATGAACAACTATCACAAAACATAAAAACAGTCACTGATCATCCAACAACAGGTAACAACACACAGTATTAAGAATCGTGTGTATGTAAACTTTTGAACTTGTTCATTTGTGAAAATTCAGTTATTATCGTGTCTTGTGGACTATATGTAAACTGTTATGTGAAATAGCTTATTCAGGGAAGTACTTAAAAAAAAAACAAAATGAAATTTTTATGATCCCTCATTTTTTTTATTTATTTTTTTTACATTATTAACATTTTGCGAATTCTGCAAGGCGTATGTAAATTTATGACCCCAACTGTTAAACAGTGTACACATGTGTTCATTTTAAATCCACCTCTTTCCAGTTGTATTCTTGCATATTAAATATCTCTGGCTTTGGGAGGTCTCAGTGCTAATATAGCAGATCAGATCAGTCCTGTTGTCAGGAAGACCAAAGGAACTGCCCACGAAGCTTTGAGAGGAAGTTGTTAGGAGATTTAAAAAAATAAAAAATTTTTTTAAAAAAGCTGGAGAAG